GTGAGTATTGTCCTTATGCCTACCAAGTTAACAATCGGGCGCAGGGTGGCTTGTCGCCAGAGAACAAAATATTAACTACCCACAAGGTAAAGCACAGACACACAGTTCATTTAGACGCACCATCACATCCGCTTGCTAGCCATTCTCTAGTTCTTTATCATAATAAATTGATTGATATTTTTGCGTAACAAGGTATTAGATAATAACACCTCACTTGGAATGTAACTCATGTAATACATTAATAAGAAATAATATACCGTGCTATTTATATATATATATATATATATATATATATATATATATATATATATATATATATATATATATATATATATATATATATATATATTTCATGTAGATCCACAGTGAAAACGTGGATAAGATAAATCTTGATAAAATCACACGGGAAAAGGGAAACAACTGAGCACCTTAGCTTTCGTCTTTATTCAAGACATATATATATATATATATATATATATATATATATATATATATATATATATATATATATATATATATATATATATATATATATATGAATGCGGGTAGTCAGAGGGCATTAATGTGTATATACATAATTAAAGTGAATTATGACCGTCACAGTGAGGACACTGGGCAAACATGTATGTCCACTCCGGGCAAACAGATAATTCATTCCAGACGCTCATGAATAGTGCGCAGTACACAGTGGTGTCTCCTGTTCCCGGTAGGGTGTGGGCGCCACTTTAATGAGCCGACTGAGGGTCAAGGGCGAGTGCCTTTGTGGATTACAGTAGATTTACCTAATTCCCTTCTTTCTGAAACGCAAACTCTAGGACACTGTTGCTGTCGAGGAATATTATTATGACGTACTTTTATTACTGAATGAAATGAATAATGAAATAAATGAAAATGCATTTATTGTTATTTATTGGTATAATAATTATTGTCTTGGTGTGAACATTAATTAGCATAAATGACCCTACCTTGGATGCTCAGGTAGCTAAACTCCCCTCCCCCCGCCTCTGTAATAAAAACATTGCATGTACTTTTTTGGGGCACAACAACAAGGTAATACAATTACCTGCGAGACAGATTGTCTCTCTATGAGTGGTTCCTATAAATCCGATTTCGAGTTCGAGAAGTTGTTTGGGAATTGTGTGTTGGTTTAAAGTTAACATGGTGATGGTGCTAGATGTGATGGCGGTGATGGTGGCGGTAGTAATAGTGGTGATGATGAGAGTAAATGGTTATGGTATTGGTGATGATGATAGTGGTAGTGGTGATGGGGTTGATAATGGTGATGGTGACAGGGATAATGGTGATAGTGGTGGTAACGGGGTCTGTGCTGGTGGTTTTAACAGGGATTATGGTAATGGTGATGATGGTAGTATTGATAGTTGCGGGAGAGCTGAGCGACGGACCACGGAGGCCACAACGCTGCGAACATAATTATGACATTTGTGAGGTCAGTTACTATGGCGTGCATTAGGTGTGCTTTAATTATTCTGATTTTTCTTGTTATTCATTTACCATTATAATTATAAAGAGAGCAAACTATACAATTAAGTTCGGCAGAAAGAGATGAACTGGGCAGAGGTGAGAGTAGGACTACGTCAAGGCTGAATAAAGTTACTATATTTTTGTTTCTTCACTATTTCTAAGACTAAAGTAGTGAGGGTGAATATAAAAAAGTAGTGAGGGTGAATATAAAAATGTTGGAGAAGCTCGCCAGGGGCAAACCAGATACCTACTTGTCTTAGAGCCTCGTTGTGGAAGGGGAATAACACCACAGTAGGTAGGGTAGCGTGTAATGTTTTGAGTGAAAGATTCAAAAGTCTCTCTCTCTCTCTCTCTCTCTTGATAGCCTAGGGGGCTCTCTCTCTCTCTCTCTAAGATTCTCTCTCTCTCTCTCTTCTCTCTCTCTCTCTCTCTATATATATATATATATATATATATATATATATATATATATATATATATATATATATATATTATATAATATGAGGCCCGATGCAGATATACCTTGATATAGTTGCATGAAGATATAAATATTTTGAGTATATTAATTACTGACAATTTAACATTTTAAATTTTTTGGCCCATTATTCCAGTAACCTTTAACCTAGCTACCTGGCCTTCCTTACAAAGTTGGCTGGGGGAAAATGTTGTCATATCTATTTAATATTATTTTATTCCCATTATTAGTAGTAGCACAGCAGAAGGGATGTTTGAGAGCGTCGTACGAATTTAAATTTATTCATGATATATCTTTACGTTCGTATGAATAGACCACAAGTCTTCTCCAAGCACCAACAGTCCATCAATTAAAATACCATCTTATTGTCTGAGGGTTGGTGACCCTGACCTTCCGCTGAGAGTAATTATAATTCTCACCTTTACAGTTGCTTACAGTAGGTTATCGTTTCAGTCTTTTAATAATATTTAGGGCAACATGTGTCAGTCCAAAACTTTGGCAATTTCGATTGTACGTGTAAAGCGCGCGCGCGCGCGCGCGCGCGTGTGTGTGTGTGTGTGTGTGTGTGTGTCACATTGTCAGTGTGCGAGGTGTGACGGTGTGTGTGTGGTCACTGGGAAGGGTTTTCTCTCCAGCCGCCTCGTTGCATTTTACAATCACGTAAACCTCCATTTATATGCAAATGAGATGTGTCACTCTCCTGGAAATGTCTGCTTCGGCCGCCTTATTACTGCCAGTTGCGCCCTCTGCCGCTAGAATTGTTAATTAGTGAGTTGAATATCGCAATTATGGAACGATAGAGGTTGAGGTGCAGTAGATGGCTCCATTCATACCCGTGGAGGGAGATGATTTTGTTATCCCGTTTATTGTGGATACTAATTCGTCGTGATATTCTCTGGACCATTATATTGACTGTATAAAGACAGCATATGGACTATACTTTTCACAGACATGTATATACAGTGGAAACAATGGGTTTTATCAGTGTTAGAGACTGATTTATCCATATAGCCAATGCCTCTTTACTTGAATAAATATTTTTAAGGTCTGTTCTTGTATTATGCCTTGTGGGTGTTTCCTAAATCAGAAAAACAATAGTTTCTGGATAACGACATGAACGTTACATACAAGTTTATGGTGGTGCAGAGTTTGGGCGTTGATTAAACGGGAAGCGACGGGGAGTCAGTCAGACACCTCCTGTGTGATAGCTCAGTTAACAATGACACACCGCCTTACTAACACTAATTGCTATAAAGACAATGCATTGATATATATATATATATATATATATATATATATATATATATATATATATATATATATATATATATATATATATATATATATATATATATATATATATATATATATATATATATATATATATATATAATTTTCGCCACATATCAGTCGTTCGGTCCATCCAGTGTTAGTACAGGAGGAAACAGAGGACGTTTACTAGGATCACACTAAATAACATCCTTCTCACTTGTGTCCGGGCCGTAGCCGCACCCCATGACATTTTGGTGAGGGATACGCATGTTACAGCTGTACTACGGACGCACCAAGGCATTTAGGAACTTCGTGTTTTCTTTTTTCCTATGTGATTATCAGCATATACAGTACATGGATCACGCGATCACCTTCAGTGATTTATTTTCATATATATATATATATATATATATATATATATATATATATATATATATATATATATATATATATATATATATATATATATAACTTCAGCAATGGACTTGTTACGTGGGAAGCGTAGTTTCGTAATGAAGATGAGAACCAGGGAAAACACAAATATCTTGACTAAGTGGGTTTCTTTAATCACTAACGTTTCGGAAAATTATTTTCCATCATCAGAGCCTAGAAAAGTCTTGTCGTTCGACTGCTCTGTATAAGGCAAGCACTGGTTGTCCACAACGACATAAGTTCAGCAATGGACTTGTTACTTAGTCAAGATGCTAATGTTTTCCCTGGTTCTCCTCTTCATTTTATATATATATATATATATATATATCCTCAACAAAATCATATACCCAATACAGTATATCATGAAGCTATCTATAAGGGAAATGGATGCTTCCATTAATTAATGGTAATAGAGTGTCTCCCTGACGACGTGAGCCTGAGTTGGAAATCCGCAATCCTTGTCATGCAACAAGAGCCATAATACCTGATTCAGAACACAGACAGTGAGAGCTCTTGCAGCCCTCCCCTGTGTAATTATAACCACTCCCGCTGACAGTTCTGCTTACCAGGATAATGATAACTCTGAGGTTTGTGCTGAGAAGGCACGAACTTATTTTGTTTTCTTTGCAAAATTATTTCCATTTGTTGGCTTGATCATATACTTACACAGTTAATCGTGTTAGTTCCTTTTAACCATTTCACTCTTATGTGCGTTTTTCTTGCCATGTATAATTAATTATTATGAACATATTCTTTCTTGTTATTTTGTCATTTTAAATAAATGCAGTTAATCCAAATAAAAAGTTGGGAAAAACTAAAAGGAAACTAAATTCTATAAGCACATTTGTCTCAGAAAAGCGACTTGGCAGGACGCGTCACAATGTATTCAGTTCAGTGTTCATCCCTACTGTACATATATCCCTTTATCCTTCTGCTTCGTTTTACCACCATCTATAGGAGCTTTCAACACATTCACCCCCCATCGAGCTTCCACATCCATCTCACATAGCTTCCATTATCCATCACCTGAGACAGTTTACAATCACCAGCTAGAACCTGCTGCATCCATCAACAGCAACCTGTTTCATCCATCACCCAAGTCTCTTCCGCCTTCATCACCCAGCGTTTTCCCTTATTCCTATACAATATTATTCCAACACCCTCCTTTGGGATTTCCTCCTCCGCCGAAAGAAAGAGAGAGACAGAGAGAGAGAGAGAGAGAGAGAGAGAGAGAGAGAGAGATAGAGAGAGAGAGACAGAGAGAGTCGCCACCTTCGTTCATCAGGGACTTTATACTATTCATACCAATAAGGTCTTTCCTCCTACATTATTAGAAGCA